AAATTTCCTATTTTTTGTTCTTTCCATTCCTGAACCAAAAATTCGATCTCGTGAACGTTGTTCTTATAGTCCGAAGAATAATTGAAAAGTGCAGGAATTCGTTTTATGCAACTAGTTTCGCGGAAAAAATTCTAAGCAATTAGATAAATATCACAAAGTTAAGCTGCTGAAAAGCAATCGCTAAGCTCTAAACAGAGTTCTAAGTAGTTTTAAAAAAAAGAAAGAAAGGAAAAGAAAAAGGAAGAAAGGAAAGGAAACAATGCTAACCTGATTGGAGACATTATATCTCAACAAATTGATCATTAGCTGCATGCAATCCTGAACAATAATGCCACCATCCAATCCGTCCTCTTCCATTACTATTTCCAACAGCCTTTCGAACGCATTTTCGAACGCAACAATTTTTTGTATATCCGCGTTATTTTCGGTAAGAGCAATAAGCAATAGTAATCCCTCTGAAATAGATTTATCGTACATTAACGCCTTTAGATATTTATCCAAATAGGTTTCACGAAATTCGATAAACATGCATACCATTTCTTATGATTTCCCTTCGATCATCTAGCAGATCCATCAAACGTGAGATCCCCATGGGTGCCGTCAATATACAACCTTGTACACGGTCGGATCTGACCGTCAGCAAGGTTCCCAATAACTGAACATCGTGGAAACGGACATAAAAATCATACTCCTGTAAAAGATCTAAGAATAAATTTATATTGGCAGGATCCTAGATGTCATTGACGGTATCATGGACATCAGTAGAAATTTGTTAGACGAACGTCTACTAGTGCATTTAATTGAAAACATAAGTAGCTCACCTGGACAATCTCGTCCGTAAATCTCACACCCAAATCGGTAGCGGGATCCTAAAAAAAAAAACGTTTCAAATTGAGCAAACTTAAAAGGCCAAGTAAATAAGTATTACGAAATGAACAAACCTCTTGTCTATCTGGTGTGCATAGAATGTTGAGAATTTCGAGAATCGCCTTGCAGGTATCAATATCCGCGCGGTCCTCGTTGAGAATATGTAAAAGAGCGCCGAGGCTTTTATTACCGACTTCCTATTCCGATTATGCTCATGTTATTAACGAAACTGGATTTCAACGTTAAGAAACAAAGATATTTTGAAGAAATTTATTGGAGATAGATATAGGAATAAAACTTACATGCCGATATTCTCTCGAGAGACCTTTTAGGCCTAATATGCCGGCACGTCTATCCTCTAACAACGTAGAATTACTAACACGATC